CTTTGCCCCCGTCCCCTACACAGTGCTTGCTGATCGCAGATTTAGGGCCCATACATTGAGTAGGTACGCACAAATCTGTCAAAACCTGACCCCTCCCCCCCTCCCTGTACTCACGCGGGCTTTATACCCCCTCCCCCCCCGAATCCTATAGAACGGCCGATATTTAATCCACGCAGAAACGATCAAGCGCTATTAATAATATTGACGTGTTTAAGCAAGTTTAAGCAAACAGATATATAGTCCACCGCCGGCTGCGTTACAGAATCAAGTCGCGTACCTTGGCCACTTATTTTGCTGAGCTGCGTGACAGCTGCAGTCAGGGGCACGGTGGCACACGAGTGACACCTCTCCCACAGTCCCACTTCTCCCGGCAGTACTTGTTGTCTCACAGCTGAAGACACTGAACTGTGGCTCATTTGAAGGCCAATGTAGACAACATGATATCGAGGCTTCACCTCCCCCCGTTACCTATGCGTAAGTAACGTGTCAGTAGACCCCCCATACGCAAGCGTACGCATTTGGGTTAACCCCCCTCCCCCCTCCATGCGTAACGTACTCAATGGATGGCCCCTTAGAACAACAACAACAACCACGGCGGTGGCAACGTGAGCTCGCATCACGGAGCCCGCGGGATGAGCGCCGCACCACCACCACCTCATCCTCCTCCTCCACGTGACCGCCGGGTGCTCCCACGGCCGTTGCCGCGTGCGCCACGTGACCGGAGAAACTAGCGCCGCCTCACTGCCATCTGCGAGTCGCAAAGCGTCCAACGTAATTGGACGAATGCTTCTGCTGGTAGAGAGTGCGCAACGGTGAGTGAGTGTCTTGGACAAGGTGAACGCACAGAGAGTGGGGGATTGCACGCCACGCGTTTCTCAATAAATTGCATTCGCGTTACCGTGGCAAACCTCACTGAGTCTCAAGACTCTTATTCTTGGTTCTTTCGGTAAAGTCACGTAGAATGGAAATAATAAAATGAAATGAAACATAATAAAATGTTTTAATTTTTTTAATTTTTTATTTTATTATTTCCCTTCTACGTGACTTTACAGAAAGAACCAAGAAGATGAATCCCTGCAGTCACGAAAGCTTTAAATCGAAATCTCAAGACTCTTATTCAGGAGGGTCCTGTCAGCTACGTTGGGATGTCTGGGCAGTTCAATAAACAAAAACACCAGTGTTTAAATTGCCACGTATGTATGTTGAACGTCTTTCGCTCCGTACGTAGCCAACCGTGCTAATGGCAGGAGGAGCAAGCAGGGAGTGTCTGGATAACGCTTACGGGCGAGAGGACAAACACTTTTCGCAGGTCGGCAGGACAGCACGCGGTCTCACGGTCTCTGTTGTACACGCGTGGCGCCCGACTTGACTTCGCGTGCACTCAGGAGAGAGAGGGTGGGAGGTGAGGTGGGCGGTGAGCAAAGAAGAGGTGATGTGGAGGGGGGGGGGGGGTCAGAGAGTGGGTTAGGTGGGGGGGTGACAGAGAGGGGATTTACTAATTTTACTATTTTCGCTTTACCAGGTGATGCCCACTGGGCTATTCAGCTATTTTTTCACAAGCGACCTGGCCACACACGATAGCTCAACGAAGCGGCTTGTCGCGTGGACATTGTGATAGCATCCAGATACATCTACACACGTGCTTCGAAATGTGGAGAGGGGAAAAAACCGGAGGACCTGGAGAAAAAAAAAATCCACGCGATCACGGGGGAAAACATCCAAAAGATACCGGCGTCAAGGTCGGGATCGGGATCGAACCCACGGCCTCCTCCACACCAGGCGAGGGAGATCGCCCCACCGCGGAGCCCGATGTGAGCTGGGTGGCGGGGACAGGGCGGGGTGCGGTGCTGAGACGAGGGAAGCGGGGAGTGGGGGAGGTGGAACTCTGAGACGAGGAGGTGGTGAGAGAAGCTCTGGGTCGGTGTGCGAGCACCCAGCGCTGGTCCAGGCAGCACGTCCCCCCACCCCCATCCCACCCCAGATCATTATCGCCGTCAACCGCGATCGAGCCACTGCTGGATGAAGGCCCTCTCCTGCAAGTCGCCGCATTTTATTGTTGTTTTTTTGTGGCCACATATTGAAGTGGGGTGCGTGGAGCGGTGTTGATGGTGGGGGGCACGAACGCTCCCCCCACCCACCCACTCCAGCCCGGTCAACATCAGTGGCTTAAAAAAATATTGCACAATCGGTTCTACACCTAAGAGTGGCTGAGCTCCACCCCTTGGAATTAAACTTCCTTCGCACCTCCGATTAGCGCCGTTGGCTATTTTCTGGTTTTAAGAAAAGTAATGCACATTTAATTCTAGATTTGAAGCTTTCGTGACTGTAAGGATTCATACTCTTAGGCTTTTTTCGGTAAAGTCACGTAGGTAAAAAATTAAAATAATATTTTATATAAGAGTATGAATGCACATTTAGACTTATCTAACCCAAAAAAACTTTATTATGAAAAATATTGGTCGCGAAAGCCTTTTCTTAAAACCAGAAAATTGGAGAAACTCCGCATTAAGCGTGTAAAATTGATGTCTTCACTGGCGTTCCTCAAAAGGTGCAGAGATTCAACGGTAATACACGTTTAGACTTATGCGATCTAACCCAAACCCCTTTATTAAGGATTCATACAGTGCACACATCGGAGTTGGTGTGCCATGCGACGAGCAGTCGTCTCAGTGGCCGGGAGAAGCGCTTCCCACATGGCAGCGTGGACCAGAGGTCACTTGGAGAAGGTGACCTCAGAGGTAACTCTGTGGTCTCCCATTCCGCGGGCCGTTCTCCAACACGGAGCTTGCTGCACGGCTCTCCTAGAGTTGTACGCGTCGACCCCGATAGCACAATCCGATAGCACGGGCGGGGCGGGGCGGGGGATGGGGGGGGGGGTGGGGGGAATTGGGGGGGGGGGGGGTTGGTGGACAGCGGACAGATGGGTCGTCCGGAAACACGGAGCAGGAGGGGGGGACACGCGATCCGTGTGGACGGAATCAAAAAGTTTCCGTCAAAGACTTCCATTCACAGAGCCCCTTTCCTCTCCCTCCTCCCTCTCTTTCTCTCTCTCCAGCTCGTCTGCAACATCTACCCCCCCCACCCCTTCCTTACTGACCAATAACCTCATCACCCTCCATCATGATCATCAGCATCATCAGCATCACGAACACAGCCACCGTTCAAGTGGCGCCCCCCACCTCCAACCCCCCCCCCCCCCGCTCTCTCGGGGGAGGCGAATGAAGCAAGCAACGGAGGAGCGAATTCTGCGAGTTCCAAATCCCCGACTTGGAGAGCGCACGTGTTGTCAGTAAATATGCTAACACCACCATTGACCAAGCCGGCTTTCATCATTAAACACACGATGTGGTGACGCAACATCAACAACACCAACTCAACACACGTGGCAATCGTACTGTAGTCTGGCCTTAAAACAAAATATATAAGAGACGACGTTTCGGGCAATGACGCTTCTTCATAATAGCAGACCTCCGATTAGCGCGGTTGGCTACGCACGGTGTGAAAGGTGTTCAACAAACATTCATGTGATCTACGTGCTATGCAGAAGGGAAATTGCCCGAAACAGTCACCGAGTGTGGATAAGGACGCGATTGAAAGGACCTTTTCGGAAGTAGTTCTGCAGTGTCATCGTCCACGTGCAGCTCTCTGCCACAACATAATGCACTGCTCTATAGGAGGGTTGCCAGATAAATACATATCTGACGCCGACAGCACACGCGGATTCAAATTAAGAAAACATTATACTTTAATCGATGTATGCGCGACGCGTAATTAGTTGGCTGTGAAAGCATCCTCGTGTATACAGTGTAAAGGATTCCAGAGCTTTGGAAATTGTCGGCAGCACACTTGGGGGGGGGCTCACTGTCTGGCTGCTTGCCACACACGGGAGCGGTGGCCAAGTGGGAAGAGGCGGGATCTGTCGGGAAGATTCAACGCACCCGCAGGAGGGGCTGTGACTGCCCTCTGCGAGTGGACTGCACCGTGTACACGTACACACAGCACGATGGTTTCAACCAGTGGTTCTTCATGTGGGGTGCACGTGCACCCCACCTGGGGATGCGAGATGCCCTTTCTGGGGTTGCGAGACACGGCCAGATTTTTTTTGTCGAAGGTAAATCATCGAAACACAAATTAAGTACGGGCACGTGAGTACAACTACTTCATCTTGATTTGAAGCTTTCGTGACTGCAGGAATCCATACTCTTTGGTTCGTTCGGCAAAGTCACGTAGGTAGAAAATATTTTTTATTTTATTTTATGGATTCCTGCAGTCACGAAAGCTTCAAATCAAGATTAAGTATTTGTACTCACTTAGTAGTTGTACTCTTTGGTTCTTTCGGTAAAGTCACGTAGGTATAACAAAATTTTTTTAAAATTATTTTATATGTACGTTTTACCGAAATAACCAAAGAGTACAACTACGTAGTTTCATCAAACGCTCTATGTGTTTATTAACATTATACAAAAAAATTACGATTGAGAATCAAAGGGGTGCAAGGCTGCAGTAAGGTTTTAAGAACCACTGGCTGAAACGATGAAACAATTTTTATTTAACCAGGTAAGGCCCACTGAGACATATATCACTTTTTCAGAAGAGCTATATAGCTGGCCACAAATGATAGCTCAACGAAGTGGCTTATCATCACGTGGAAATGTATAGCTGCCCAACACTCTAAACGTGCGATGTTGATTCTAAAATGTGGAGGGGAAAACCCGGAGGGACCCAGAGACAAATCCACGCGACCACAAAGAGAGAGAGAGACAGAGAGACACTCCAAACTCCAAATATACAGCAGGGGTCAGGGTCGGGATCGAACCGACGAACTTCCTGCATACCAGGCGAGGGAGTTAACATCTCCTAGCCACCGTCTGATGTGATGCTGCACGCTGTGATGATGGCAGTGCGATTTGATGTTGCACCACTCGCTGTTATGGTGTAATGGTGACGTTAACGCAGTCAAGGCGCACCAAGCACCAGTGAACCACACGCGAACTCCAGCGAGGAATACAAACAACTTTAATGTGGCTATTGCAGTTTACAAAATGCAGTGCATACATACTGTAACGTATACTGTAGCAATGCACACAGCTGGACAGACATCACAGCCATCGCGCTCACGGGCTGATATAGGCAACAACAGCAGTAGCAGGAGCAGCAAATCGAATAACAACAATACTAATATTATTATTATCACGTAATAGGTAAAAGCCGTAGGCCCGCTCTGGCTTGCTCCCAATATTGCCAACTGAAGGCCCTCGGCTAAAGCAAGGGGGCTGTCTTCACGGATTCCCTCGTGACGGAGTGTATGTACCGCAGGCATTTGTCGTGAATAAGAGAGGAGTCTTTATTTATTCCGGCACCGGACACGCTCTTCAAGGATTCCCTTCGTTCCAAGCGTCCCCATCTCTCGCGTTTCCATCCCCCCCTCCTATTATATAGACCCCTCTAGCCTTCTTACTCGAAGGTTCCTTGTCCTTCCACTTTCCCTCCAGACAATTCACCTTTCCACTTTAGGGCCATCCATTGAGTAGGTACGCAAAAAATCCGTAAAAACGTGACCCCCTCCCCCCATCCCCGAATCCTATAGAACGGCCGATATTTAATCCACGCAGCAACGATCAAGGATTAATAATATTAACGTGTTTAAGCAAACAGATAGTCCACCGCCGGCTGCATTAAAGAATTAAGTTGCGTACCTTGGCCACGTATTTTGCTGAGCCGCGTGACAGCTGCAGTCAGGGGCACGGTGACATACAAAGTGACACCTCTCCCACAGTCCCACTTCTCCCGGCAGGACTTGTTGTCTCACAGCTGAAGACACTGAACAGGGCTGTCGGAAAGACGCTGCTTGCGTTGTGGCCGAAACGTCGTGAGAATTGCATTTTATTATGTTTTATTTTTATTTTATTATTTCCCTTCTGCGTGACTTTATCGAAAGAACCAAGAAGATTGACGTGTTTAATCAAACAGATTGGCCACCGCTGGACTATCTAACTCATTCAAATTGTTATTGAGGCTTCACCCCCCCCCCCCCGTTTCCTATGCGTACATTGTCAGTAGACCCTCTTACGCAAGCGAACGCATTTGGGGTAACCCCCCCTCCATGCATACGTACTAAATGGATGGCCCCTTACTCCAACGGATCCCAACCCACCCTCCCTGTCAATCATCCTCCGTCTCTCGCTCTTTCCCCGTTGCATTTCTCCCTCCCAAATCCGCTTCAATTGCCCCTGCCTCTAATCAATACCCCTATCAGGCCTCGTTAAGTTACCAATCAGGGGGGGGGGGGGGGCATTGTTATTTTGTTTACTTCGTGATTATTCGCGGTGTCCGCCACGTGTCAGGCGAGTATCGTCTGGTCGTGATTATAATCTCTGACACATTCACGTGCATCGAGGTTCTTGAAACATTTCTTGAGAAGGCTTTTATTTTTTTATTTGACCGAATTCGAAAACAAATTGGCACTTCTTGTTATTTAGTTTTGCCGGCTCGTGCGGGCGAGAGGGGGGGGGGTCTTCCAAGTCGGAGCGAGTCGCTCTCCTGCTGCCCCCTCTCCAGAGTGGCATCTCTGTGGCCACGTTTTACTCCACCGCACGCGACCTGCTGCCGGGCGACTGAACATGCGGGCGAACCCACGGAATTACTACTGCTGGATAACAACAAAGATGTTGCGTAGGAGAAAGGGGGATTTTTTTTTTGTCGTCGTGAACCCTACCCCGTCGCTTGAACTCCTGCCGCGCCCGGAGATGGAATCGAACGGGCGACAATCTGCATAGCAAGTCCAATGCAGCCGACCCCCTGAACACCACAGTGGGTAGCAGCGCCGACGATATTAACGTAAAACAGAGATTTCACTTTGTAACTGCGTCGTGAAACAATCGGTATAAGTGATACTTAACGATAATGATGACTGAATTGCGGTGATTCCACCAAAAAGTATATTTTTGTTGTTTAAATAAGAACTATGTTGCATACAATAACGCTTCCAAGTGTACAAATGTCTGGGTGAGTGGTGAGTGTGGCAAACGGGTGGAGGGGGCAGGGCCCAGGGATAGGGGGGGGGGGGCAGGGATAGGGGGGACACGGATAAGGGGGGGGGGGGCGATTGGGAAGATTGCCCCGGCACATAGGACGAGCTGGCTCGCCTCGAGGGATGCACACAGCGGAGTGAACACACACAGCTCGAACGTGCCGATGCATTGTGCGCGCAGTCTGATGTCGGTGTGATGGAAGCGCAATGGTGATGTTGCACGCCGTGATGGGGGTGTGATGGTGATGTCGCAGGCTTTGGTGGGCGTGTGATGGGAGTGTCATGGTGATGTGGTGAAGATGGTGGTGCAGGAGTTACTCTCCTTTCGGAAGAAAGCGGCCCAAGACAGACAGATATACAAACGCACAACAGAGACTTATGTACAGACAGACAGACAGCTGTACAGGTAGACATTGAGACCGACAGATGGATTGACACACAGATGGATTGACACACAGACTGATAGACGTACACACAAACAGAGACATGCGCAGAGAAACATGCGCAGACTGACAGATTCACTGACGCACGGGGCAGACAGGCAAACGGACAGACGCAGACGAACAAGATGAACAGACGCATACCGGCAGACGGACACACAATGACAGAGACACAAACAAAGTTCGACAGACAGAGAAAGACACACAGACACACACACAGACGTACTCCCTTACGGTCTTCTCCACCGCTATCCCATGGCCGTGATCATGCCGGCGTGGTGCGGCGACACGAAGGGCAGCCCCGCGTGGGCGTGCGCCACGGGGGAGCCGAACGGAGCCAGCTGACCCAGCTGGCCAAGGTGGCCCAGGTGTCCGTGCATCGCCGTGTCCAGGTGTCCCACGCCCAGGTGAGACATCCCACCCACAGGCAACGTTTTGTCCATCTGCTGCTGCTGCTGCTGATGATGATGCTGCTGCTGATGCTGGTGATGATGTGGGTGGTGGTGGAGATGATGCTGATGATGTTGATGATGCTGGAGAAGCTGCTGTTGCTGCTGCTGCTGTTGTTGTTGTTGTTGCTGCTGCTGATGGTGGTGGTGGTGCTGGTGGTGGTGATGGAGTTGCTGTTGCTGCTGATGGTGATGGTAGTGCTTGATCATCAGATCTTCGGGGTCACTGAGGGCTCCGTCAGCGCCGCTCCTCCTCATCTTTTTGCTCTTGCTGGACATCTTGCGATTTCGCGTTTGAATTCCTTCCTTCTTCATGGTGAGTGGTCGGTTCACCTGTCAATCAAATGAACCAAATTAATCAAATTGGCGATTTAACGAGCGGCTTTCTTTCACGATTCATCGTTGAAAATTATTTTTCGGTTAAGTCACGCAAATAAAATATCCGGTCAAATGTGTGTTCGTGAAACCCTCCACCACCCTGCCATAGCCAAACAAAGGGTCGCATGTATTTCTTCTGCTACAATTTATTGTGAGGATTGTTCTTCAACTTACCGCTGTGAGTGAGCAGAAACAATCTTGTACACCACGTGGCAAATTACGTCTAATTTGTCGACGGTATATGTGCGTGTCTTTGTGTCTAGAGGTGCTTGCTAACAGCACTTGCTCCTTCAGTCTGTTAAGGGTTTACGGCGGAAATTGTATTTGTCTTTTGTGTCTATATCGATATTTATGTGTGTGTATATGTATTTAAGTATGCATATATACGTGTGCGGAGCGGCATTGTAGCGGTTAGTGTGCTGGGCCATGTACCCGGCGAGTCGAGTTCGATTCCCGCTCATGGTGAACACCGGTGATGATTATCTGAACCGGTCCTGGGCCTCCCCTAAGTCGACTTAGCCTCAAATGAGCACTTGGTGCGGTGTGATAACATCGTTACTAGGATGACAAAGGCGGCCGGGCGTGGTGCTGGCCAACCACCCCCTCGTGTGCCTTGTCAGCCTTCATAGGTGCTCGCTAACAGCACTTGCCCCTACAGTCTGTTAAGGCTATACGGGGGATCTTTGTCTTTGTTATATGTAGGTGAACTGGTTCTGGGCCTCCCCGAGGTCGACTCAGCCTCAAATTAGTAGCTGGTAGGTTGTGTAAAAACATCGCCACTGGGGAGACAAAGGCGGTCATGGCGTGGTGCTGGTCACCCACCCCCTCGTGTGTCAAGCCGACCTTCATAGGCGCTTGCTAACAGCAAGGGGGATATTGGTCCGTGTCTTGTACGTGTGTTCGCGCGTATGTGTCGACGTACGTTGTGGAGCTTGAAGTAGAGTCCGCACGCGTTGCACACGGGGTCCCCGTGCGCGTTCCGTCTCCACAGCGTCGTGGTGCTGGTCAGGCAGTTGGCGCACGCAGTCCCGGACCGCCTTGCGGCAGACTTCACGCACACACAACACAGACGAAGATCCCACGTGGAGTCTTCAACACAACGTTTGGGGCCAAATGATGTTAGCGGGCAGCACCAATGAAGGCCGAAATGGCGCACGAGGGGGTGGGTGGCCAACACTACGGCCGGCCGACTTTTATCTCCTGAGTGACGATGTTTACACGTCGCACCAGGTACCCATTTAAGGCTGAGTGGATCTAGGAGAGGCCCAAAAACGGTTCAAATATTCGCCACTGTTATTGGTCTCTGTCCCTGTGTGACGACACACACACACACGTGTCTCTTTGTGACGACACACACGTGTCTCTGTGTCTCTTTGTGACGACACACACACACACACGTGTCTCTGTGTAACGACACACGCACACACACACACACACGTGTCTCTTTGTGACGACACACACGTGTCTCTGTGTCTCTTTGTGACGACACACACACACACACGTGTCTCTTTGTGACGACACACACACACACACGTGTCTCTTTGTGACGACACACACACACGTGTCTCTTTGTGACGACACACACACACGCACAGGGTGAGACACACACACACAGGGTGAGACACACACATACACACAGGGTGAGACACATGCAGCGCCGCGCTCTCACCAGGCGCCGCTTGGGTTTGATGAGCGGCCGGTTCTGCCCGTTCATCTTGTGGTAGAGGCCGCACGCGTTGCACAGGTAGTGGCCCGTGCCGTCCCTGCGCCAGAGCGGCGTCGACGTGGCGCCGCAGTTCACGCACTCGCGGCCCTCTGACGGGAGTGGGGAGGTATGACACGTGCTCAATGGTGGCGGGAGTCTCGTGGCACGTGCTCACTGGTAAGAAGGCTCGCTCTAGATGTGAAGTTGTCGTGACTGCAAGGATCCATACTCTTTTGGGTTTTTTCGGTAAAGTCACGTAGGTGAAAAAATAAAGTAAATAAAAAGAATGGTAATACATTTATTAATTTATTTATAATAAATTTAAATGAAAACAAATAAATGTACTAATTTCTTTGTTTCATTTTAATTTATAAATGTCTTAATTTATTTGCTTTCATTTTAATTTATTATGTATATTACCGATGTGACTTTACCGAAAAGACCAAAGAGTAAGAAGCCTCGTGTTCACTTAGATGACATCACACCTGTCAACTCGTAGGTGTTAGAATGAAGAGGGTTGCAGGTTTTTTTGTGTTGTTGCGTGCGTCGTAAGATAATATGTTCATAGTTATGCAGGAGTTTGTCATCATCGTTGTCGTCTCTGTCACGGTGAACCGCTCTCATCATCACATTCACCGTGATGACCATCACGGTTCAGAACCCATATGATCATCATCATGACCTTCCACTCTACCATCATCACGCATGGTAATACTGGTAGGAAACTCCTGGTTACACCAGCCCACAGGGGATTATTGTGTCCGTCGTGCAGGGAGGGGCTGGGTGGGGAGGGGAGGGGCTGGGTGAGGAGGGTGGGGCTGGGTGGGGAGGGGAGGGTGGGGAGGGGCTGGGAGGGGTGGGGCTGGGTGGGGAGGGGCTGGTCACCCCGTGGTGCCCTTATAAAACTCAACGTTTAACCAACTCACGCCGGCTTGTGCCCACCCTCACAGTCGGCCATATTTGCGGAATACACCACGCCGCCGTTGACCCTGGCCATTGACCGAGCAACCCAACGTTCTTACCAGCTCCCTCCGCAGGAATATGTTGGTTATCATCAACATCCGCATCATGATCATAATCATCGTCATCACTACCACGGGCCAATACTTCTGAATGTCATCGTCGTCATCGTAACGGCTGCGGTATATAAACTCCACTCAAGTGACACGAGAACGATGCACGGGTGAGCCTAGATCCTCGTTCGGAACGAAACGTTCCTTGACATCATCACCGATCGCGGCCGAGTTCTGCGTGAGAGTTGAACGACCAAACGAACGAACGAACGAAAAAACGAAAGTCGCTCCCCCCTGCACCCCCCCCCCACCTCATCTACCACTTTTCTCTTAGACAGGAGACTCCTCGCTCTGTCTGTCAACGACCCCAACTCATCGCCTCGCTACACGACATCGTCATCATCAGCCATGGTCACTCCACTGCTGGATGACGGCCTCCCCTAAATGACTGCCTCCTCTCACGATCTTCATCATCATCATCATCAGCCATGGCCACTCCACTGCTGGATGGCGTCCTCTCCCAAGTCACCACCACCATGCGTTCTAACAGCGCACTCAGCACCAGCGCACGCTCTGACTCATCATCCCTGCTGGCTGCCGTTGTTGTTGTAGTTGTTGCTGCTGCTGCTATCGTTAAAATAACTCAGCACATCTGCCAATAACCACACTGTGTACGCCATTAAATGGATAACCAAATATATAATAGGCGACGTTTCAAGCAACAGCCCTTCCTCAGTGGCCCTTTCTTCATATCGCCATTGTTTGAACCGTCACCTGTTATCGACCAATTTTCCTTTGCAGGCACACACACACACATTGACTCGCAGCGAGTTTGGGTGTTGTTCGTTATACTTGTACGCCAATTTCAACGCAGCAACAGGATCCACAACTCATCTGCTATACAGTATTATTATTATCATAACTGTTATATATATTTTTGTTATTCTTATCCGCCGATCCATCATCATCCCTGCTCGCGACGTGTGCTGCTCCCAAACGTAATAATATTAATTCAGATGCCAAGAGATACATCAATAAATGGGAGGAGGCCCAACGGAAACAGCCAAAATAAAGACAATGAGAGACACAGAGAGATGGCCTTCATCCAGCAGTGGATTGCTCATGGCTACTGCTGATTGATGATGATGATGACGACGCCGATATAATTGTGGATACCTCGTTTGTTAGTTGTGCGATATTCCTGAAGGACCCGCAACTCGCTGTCTGCGATACCGGTTCCCCTAGCGGCATGCGGCAGTAGATGCGTTCTAAAAAAGTGCGCACAAAGCGAAACCGCGTAGCGTGGAACGCACAGACACCCAACCCACAATGCACGGCACCAGGAGACGGCTGCCTTCCAAGTAGCGCACACAGTACACACACAGTACACACACACACACGGTACACACACAGTACACACACAGTACACACACACGGTACACACACACACGGTACACACAGTACACACACACAGTACACACATACAGTACAGACACACAGTACACACATACAGTACAGACACACAGTACACACACAGTATACACACACAGTACACACACACAGTACACACACAGTACACACACACAGTACAGACACACACACAATACAGACACACAGTACACACAGTACACACACAGTACACACGCACAGAGTACACACACAGTACACACACAGTACACACACAATGGTGTCCTACGTCCGACGGCATGTCCTCATGTGAGTGAGTTCAAACCGCAATTTTGTATAGAAATAGGTGAGCCACATAGACGCGAAATAGCACTAACCGAACCCGCACAAAGCGAGGGAACCCTGAATAGACGTTGTTGTCTTTGTTTTGTCGCTGCTCTGCTCACGCACCACGGATCTGCCGTGTAGAATATCCTGGAATACTGGATAAGCGTGACCAGATACAAATGTAAGCTTCATAGAGCGGAGGGAGTATAGTTGTGGGTGGGATGAGGGCAGGAGACGCAGATGACGACGCTGTCATCGAGGGAGAGAGAGAGAGAAGGCGATTGCAGGCAGCGACTTGGCTGGCAAAGCGGGGGGGGGGGGGGGGGACACGTGGCCAGATTCAGGAGACACGGCGGAGAGTCCAGAGGGAGGGATCCCGGGGAGCATGAACAAGACGACCTTTCACGCAATGAATTAAAACGCGATCGAGGGCGCAGTGCGGTGTAGTCTGTAGAGGTCAACGTTATAATACAGGTAGGAACAACAGGTTCCACACTGCCCACCAGGGATTATTTGTCTGTCTGTCGTGCATATGGGGAGGGTGGGGGGTGGAAGGGGTGGAAGGGGTGGAGAGGGGAGGGTGAGGAGGGAGGGGCTGGGTGGGGAGGGGAGGGTGGGGAGGGGCTGGGTGCGGAGGGTGGGGAGGGTGGGGCTGGGTGGGGGGTGGGAGGGGTGGGGCTGGGTGATGAGGGGCTGGTCACCCCGTGGTGCCCTTATAAAACTCAACGTTTAGCCTACTCACGCCGGCTTGTGCCCGCCCTCACAGTCGGGCATATACACCACGCCGCCGTTGACCCTGGCTATTGACCGAGCAACCCAACGTTCCTACCAGCTCCCTCCGCAGGAATGTGTTAATGATCGTGCCCAAGTAAGCACCACAATAGGAGGCAGCGTGGTTGTAGTTCACCCGGTCCAAGTTATAAGGTTCGTGTTGCCTAGATTTGTCCATCTGGCAAACTGGCGTCTCTCAGCCTGATAACCGAGCAAGCCAGCAACAACGTTTGATTGATTTGGAGAAAAAGAAAAAAGCAATCTAACGTAAACAAAAGTGCGTGTTTTTTAAAAGCAAAACCATATAAATAAATATACGGCCAAATTGGCTTAAGAGGCGCGCAATTTTCCTTTTTTCCCCCCAATCGGAAATGTCCGTTTAGTTGGTAAACAGCTCCTCCGCCGGCACGCGCATCCGTGTCTCCGTGGCCCCGAGTTGAGATCAACACGGGCGGCGATCACGACAATCACGACGAAGAGGACAATTGACAAAGGTCCCCCGAATAGCCTTCGACATGCCGTCGTTGCGGGGCAAGTGCTCAGTCGTTTGGAAGCTCGCAGCAGCAGCGCGTCCCGGCCGCCTCGTGGCATCACCATTGAGCACACAACAGGCTCTGTAGAGAGCGGTAGGCACTGCTCACGCAAGCCATCGTTATCAATTATCTATCGTCAATGATCTATAATCAATTATCTCGCATTAATGATGTATCATCAATTTAAAGCCTTCGTGACTGCAGGGATTCATCGTCTTGGTTCTTTCGGTAAAGTCACGTAGAATGGAAATAATAAAATAAAAACATAATAAAATAATTATTTTATTGTGTTTTAGTTTTATTATTATTCATCTTCTTGGTTCTTTCGGTAAAGTGACGTAGAATAGAAATAACACAATAATAAAAATAAAACATAATAAAATACTAAAATAAATATTTTGATAACAAAAATAAAACATAATAAAATATGCTTTATTTTTATTACTTTATTATTTCCATTCTACGTGACTTTACCGAAAGAACCAAGAGGATGATGTATCATCAATTATCTTGAATCATTATCTCGCATTAATTATCTATCGTCATCAATTAGCTTTCATCATGATTATCTATTGTCAATTCTCTTTCATTATAATAAACTCCCATTATCATACTGGACGCCTGTGGAAAAAGAAAGCTTTGTAGCTCATCGGATTCCTCCAGTGTCAATATACACTTTGATTTTGATAATTATTTATCTATCATCAATTATCTATAATAATTACAATCAATTATGTACCAGCATGATGTATCATCGTCATTTATAATTCATTATTATCATCAGCAATCAAATCACTGCGTCAAAATCATCATAATAAATTATCTTTGATCATCAATGAGATCTCATCATATTTCTGCAGCAGAAATTATTTTTCAACATCACCACCATCGTTATCATGAATTTAATCATCGTTAAATATCTGTCGTGAATATAATCAATGGACGTTCGTTATCACCGTCTTTACAATCACACACACTCGTGGTCGTCATCATAAATCATCACGACCATCGTCGTCGTCATCATCGACTGATCGTTCGTCGTGATCATTGTCAATTATTCATCATCAACGTCATCTTCTTGGTTCTTTCGTCGTGAGAATTATTTTCTTATGTTTTATTTTTCTTATTTTATTATTTCCCTTCTACGTGACTTTACCGAAAGAACCAAGAAGATGAATCCCTGCAGTCACAAAAGCTTTAAATCGAAATCATCAACGTCATCATCCTCTTCAATCATCTTGCATTATCACCCGCAATAGTTGTCTTTCATAGTCATCGTCATCATTGATCTTGTGTCATCACCAACACTACCACCACCACCATAATTGATTATCTCTCATCATTCCCATCATCACCGTGATCACATCTCATCCAAAGAGAACTCTCAACTCATCCGATGCAGAAGCCTCGTGCCATCTGATGCAGGATAATAAATGATTCACTGACGGCATCTCTCCTCCAAACATTTGTTTCCACGACTCCCAGATTGATGCCAGATCTACAAGTTCCAGGTCTCATGTCCCGTGTCCAGGTCCCAAGTCTCACGTCCCGTTTCACCGTATCCCAGGTCCTCGTGCCCCAGTTCCATCTAGTTCTCCAGGTCCCCCCGTGTCCCAGATCCCCATATCCCATGTCCCCGTGTCCCAGGTCCATCTAGTTCCCCAGATCCCCCCGTGTCCCAGATCCCCATATCCCATGTCCCCGTGTCCCAGGTCCCCCCAGGATCCCAGAACCCCATATCCCATGTCCCCGTGTCCCATGTCCCAGGTCCTCCCGTGTAACCAGGTTCCCGTGCCCCAGGTCCCCCCGTGTCCCAGTGCCCCCCCCCCCGGGTCCCAGATCACCATATCCCATGTCCCCATGTCCCAGGTTCTAGGTCCTCCCGTGTACCAGGTTCCTGTTCCCCAGGTCCCCGTGTTCCAGGTTCCAGGTCCTCCCGTGTCCCAGGTCCCCCCAGGGTCCCAGGTCCCCCAGGGTCCAAGATCACCATATCCCATGTCCCCATGTCCCAGGTTCTAGGTCCTCCCGTGTCCCAGGTTCCCGTGTCCCAGTGCCCCCCAGGGTCCCAGGTCCCCCCCCCCCGTGTCCCAGGTCCCCCCCCGTGTCCCAGGTCCCCCCCCCCCGTGTCCCAGGTCCCCCCCCCCCCGTGTCCCAGGTCCCCCCCCCCGTGTCCCAGGTCCCCCCCCCCCGCCAGGGTCCCAGGTCCCCCCCCCCCCCCGTGTCCCAGGTCCCCCCCCCGCCATGGTCCCAGGTCCCCCCCCCCGTGTCCCAGCTCCCCCCCCCTCCCAGGGTCCCAGATGTCCGCGTCCCTTACCCGTGGCCGAGCGGCTCTTGCTTCTTGATTTGGGGATGAAACTCAATCCGGGGCCCCCGTAGAGGTCCGCGGGGTGGAAGAGGGGAGCGGCCAGGGCCCCGTGCGGCGAGGGGGCGCCCTCTCCCAGCGGGTGGTGCGCGTGGTGATGGTGGGGGTGAGGATGGTGAGGGTGGTGAGGATGGTAAGCCGCCGCGTACGTGGCGATGGGATGGTGATGATGGGTGCTCCTGTGACCCGGGTTCAACTCCAGTTTGAGCGCCTCCGAATCTTTGCACTCGTCCGCGCGTCTCGCCGCAGCCGCGTGGAGGCCCTGCTGCTGATGCTGCTGATGCTGCTGCTGCTGATGGTGCTGCTGTTGCTGCTGATGGTGATGCGGCGATGGGTCTTTGGGCGGGGTGGGTGGGAAGCCGTAGACCAGGGGGCTATGAGACAGCGATGTTCCACCTCCACCGCCTGCGTACATTCCTCCGTGAGCCGCCGCCGCTGCTGCTGCCGCTGCCGCTGCCGATGTGCTGCTGCTCGTGTGGTTGATGAGGCCGCCGGGCTTCGTGAAGGCGCCGTGTGCGGCGCTCCACGCGGTGTGCGGGGAGAGGCCGCGTCCATTCTCCTGCAGCCACGTGGACAGCGCGGCCCCATGCAGCACCTGGGGCCGGCACACCTGGCGGACTGGGGGGGCCGTGGGGGAGGGGCGCAAGCGGGGGGAGGGGGGATACGCAGGGTAGGTCATGGGGTCACGGGACACAGGTGTGTTTGTAGGTGTGTGAGGGTCTGTATGTGTCTGTGTGTGTCCGTGTGTGTCTGTGTGTGTCCGTGTGTGTCTGTGTGTGTCTGTGTGTGTCGGTGTGTGTCTGTGTGTGTCTGTGTGTGTCTGTGTGTGCGTGATTAGCGCGCTGCACTACAAACCCCGCGACCCGAGTTGGTGCCCGTGTCAGTGTGCTGGTACGTGTGTCACGGTGTTTCGGTACGTGTGTCGGGCTGAGTCGGTAGGTGCTCCCCTACCGTGCGTGGGGGTGCGGTAACCTCCATGCGCCGCGGGGAAGAGGAGCCCCCCGACGGGAGTGCGGCGCTGCTCCGCGCCCCCCAGGAAGGCGTCGCCCGCCTCCTCGGAGCCCCGCAGCTGAGCCGCGTCCACGAAGCAGTGAGAAGAAACAGCGGCGGCGGCGGCAGGGAGAGCGTGGGGGTGCGAGGGGCCCCCCACAAACCCGACCCCCACCACCCCGACTCCCGGGTCCACCCCTCCGCCGCCCTGGTCCCCCGTGAGCACCACGTGGTGCGGCAGCCAGGGGCGAGCGGCGTCCGCGCTCAGCTCCATGGCTCGGCAGCAGCGACGGTGGTCGGTGGTCGATGATTGATTGGTCGATGGTTGGCGGTTGATTGGTCGATGGTTGGCGATTGATTGGTCGATGGTTGGTGGTTGATTAGTCGATGGTTGGTGGTTGATTGGTCGATGGTTGGCGGTTGATTGGTCGATGGTTGGTGGTTGATTAGTCGATGGTTGGTGGTTGATTGGTCGATGGTTGGCGGTTGATTGGTCGATGGTTGGCGGGTGATTGGTCGATGGTTGGTGGTTGATTGGTCGAAGGTTGGTGATTGATTGGTCGATGGTTGGCGGTTGATTTGTCGATGGTTGGCGGTTGATTGGTCGATGGTTTGGTGATTGAGGTAGTCCGTTGATGCGCGAGATGATAGTCGATGATTGAATAACACCGATGATGGTGACGACGACGATGATGATGCTGAGTATTGACAAAGCTCAGCGTTGACGACGACGACGATGATTGATGATTGAATAAAATCGCTGATAGAGACGCTGATCGATGAGTGGCGGTGTGAGGTGACACTTGATAACGATCAAAGATTAACCGTCGATTGTGATGACGACGATTAATGGCATCGATGAGCAATGATGTCCGCTGATGACGACGATGAAGACAGTGACTCTTGATGATGATGACGACGACGACGTTGATGATGATGTTGGCGATGAGGTAGAGACCGACAATTGACGATGACAGCCGACGATGTCGACAGAGACGAGGTCGGTTGAGAGATGAAGAGGTCTTCTGACGACGTCTTCGCCGTGGTGGTGGTGGTGGTGGTCGGTGACTGACGAAGACTACAGCTGACGAGGTGGACGAAGGCAGCAGTCGATGCTGATCGTTGGCAGGGTTTCAGCACAATGATGGTCACTGGGGAGCAAGATGGGAGTAAGAGAACAAGAGGGGGGCATCGAGGGGTCAGGACGAGTGGAGAATGTGGACCGTGACAACGACAACTACGATAACGATTGTGATGCTGCTGATGATGAGATGATAACGAGGTTAATGAACACACACCTGAGACCCACGGCGCGTTCACGTGGTGTGTGAACACACACCTGAGACCCACGGCGCGTGAACACACACCTGAGACTCACGGCGCGTTCACACGGCGCGTGAACACAATGTGGTATCAGGTTCATCATCATCATCGCCATCATTATCGCTCAATCCACAGCTGGAGTATGCACCCCACGCTTCACCAACGCTGGCGAAAGGAGGGGGGGACGACTCGAGAACAGATCCAGATGTCCCTCGCAGCTGTCGTTTTAGCCGGAGCCTCGGAGTCGAACTCAGGTGGCCTGGGTTCGCAGCGCAGTGCGCTAACCGCTGCGCCACCACTCATCCTCCCCTCCCCTACACACTTAAGCATACATGCGAATACACACACACGCAGACGCACGCACACAACACATATGTATATACATAGATGTCAAAGGCAAATATATATACCCCGTATAGAGTGTTGGGGCAAATTATGTTAGCGAGTAGCACCTATGACGGTCGGCACGGCACGGGCGGCCACGTACACCGCACCGGGTACTCATTTGAGGGCGAGTTAACCTAGGGGAGACCCAGGACCGGTTCAGGTAATCGCGCTAACCACTACACCACCGCTCCCCACGACACGCACACAAACACACACGGGTGATTGTGACGGTGACTGATGTGATTACTGCATCACAGAGACTCACACACAGACTCACATAGACACTCACACAGAGACACTCACACACAGAGACACAGAGACACTCACACAGACACACACAGAGACACAGAGACACACACAGAGACACACACACAGACTCACATAGACACTCACACAGAGACTCAGAGACACACACAGAGACTCACACAGAGACACACACAGAGACTCACACACAGAGACACACATAGACACTCACACAGAGACACAGAGACACACACAGAGACTCACACAGAGACACAGAGACACAGAGACACACACAGACTCACACACAGACTCACACATAGACTCACACACAGACTCACATAGACACTCACACAGAGACACACACACAGACTCACCTAGAGACTCATACAGAGACACACACAGAGACACACACAGAGACTCACACAGAGACTCACACTCAGACTCACACAGAGACTCACACAGAGACTCACACAGAGACTCACACAGAGACTCATAGACTCACACAAAGACGCACACAGAGACTCACACAGAGACTCACACAGAGACCCCAAGGCTCACTGCCTCTGTCGATGAAACAGTCTCACACAGAGACTCACACGGAGAGACTCACACAGAGACTCACAGACTAACACATAGACTCACACAAAGACGCACACAGAGACTCACACAGAGACTCACACAGAGACTCACCTAGAGACTCACACAGAGACTCACACAGAGACTCACACAGAGACTCATAGACTCACACAAAGACGCACACAGAGACTCACACAGAGACTCACACAGAGACCCCGTGTCTGACTGCCTCTGCCGATGAAACAGACAGCGCTGCCATGCGATTCCAGCCTCACGTCCCTCTCTCAGCACACGATCGGGTTGAGACACAATATATCTCGGTGTGCGTGTGTATATATGTTGTCTGATATGTATACATCCACATTGTATATTTGTCTCGTATTAATTTGTTCTGACATTACATTTATTAATGACATACTCTATGTTAAGTAAGTATGTTCTCTGACCGTTCAACATATGATGCTAGCGACCGTAAACACACATATATATATGTGTGTGTCTATGTGTGTATGTCTGCATATATATGCAAAACAAAGACATAGATTTCCCCGTGTCGCTTTAATGGACTTTTGGGGCAAGTGGTGTTAGCAGGCACACGTGAAGGCCGGCACACGAGGGGGGGGGGGGGGGGTGGTCAACACCACGCCCGGCCGCCTTTGTCTCCCCCAGTGCTGATGTTTTACACAGCGCACCAGGTACTCATTTAAGGTTGAGTCGACTGAGGGCAACGGCTTAGGACCGGTTCACAAATTCGCCACTTGCTTTTGGTCGTGAGCGGGAATCGAATTCGGGTCCGCCGGATTCGTAGCGCAATGCGCTAACCACTGCGCCACCGCTCCCCACCAATGATATAATTATGTACGCACACGCGCGCGGTAAAGACAACGATCCTCCGGGTAGCCTTCATAGACTGTTGGGGCAAGTGCTGTTAGCGAGCACCTATTAAGGCGAAATCGGCGCAAGACATATATATGTATCAACATACACACAGATGCACTCATCACACACAAAGTGCTTGCCGCAAATGAACCTCAATACCTCGATCATCTCGTCGAGGAGCGATAAAGCATCCACGCGATTGTGGCGAAGCCATCTAACAAAGACGGCCACTGCGTCGCGCGCTTTCAGATGCGCTTCCGCGGCCGTCTGGAACGCTCTCTTCCTCCCGATGTTAAAACGTCACTGGAGCTATGCACTTTTAAATAATCATCTCGATTTAAAGTCGATTTATTTTTAACTACTTTTTGTGCTTCGTTTGTTTTTATCGTTCCCCCGCACCTACGATCAGCACGGTTGACTACGTACGGCGCGAAATAAGTTCAACATAATTACATATATATAGACAGTCACATAAAACATCGACATACACGACGATGTAACGAAAAGCCCTTTGTCAATCCACTGCTGAAAAAGGCCTCCCCCCCACGCCGTATCGGTTATTTTGACCATACTTCACCACGCCGGTCAATGCGGGTTGGTGAAAGGAGGGATACCCCAGGACCGGTTCAGATTTCACTTGCCACTGATGTTCTTGTCGTGACCGGCAATCGATCTCAGGTGACCGAGGTTCGTAAGCGCAGTGCGGCTAACCACTGCGCCACCGCTCTACCCCGTAAAGCTATACCGTACCTGATGACACAAAGAGAGATTTGTACACACACACATCGATATACACAGACGCCCCATGTAGCCTGCGTAGACTGTTGGGGCAAGTGCCGTCATTAATCTCCGCACGGCGCACCAGAATGGTCAAGATACCCTCACACTCAGGCCGCCTTTGTCTCCCCCACGCCGAGACTCGCTTACACGCCCCCCCCCGGGAGATAGTACAGTTATCGTACTCATTTGATGCCGAGTCAACCTAAGCGGGGGTCGGGGATCGCGACAGCGGCGCCGCCGGCACGACACGCGCCCTACGGAAGGGCAGCGCTGCCCCCATTGAACCCCGGGGCAGCCAAGAGGTGGAATTCTCGGCACACCGCTTAAGGAGCCATCCGTTGAGTGCGTTACGCATGGAGTGGGGAGAGTGGGGGGGGGTTAACCCAAACGCGTTCGCTTGTATATGGGGGGTCTACTGACAATGTACGCATAGGACACGGGGGGGGGGGGGGGGTGAAGCTTCGATAATAATTTGTCTACATTGCCCTTCAAATGAGTTAGATAGTAATCTAGAATCAAGATGGACTGTTTGCTTAAACACGTGAATATTATTAATCCTTCATCGTTCCAGCATCGATTAAATATCGGCCGTTCTATAAGATTCGGGGGGAGGGGGGGAGGGGGGGATGAGGGGGTGTAGAAAGTCCGCGTGCGTACAGGGAGGCAGGGACAGCCTCGAGTTCCGACAGATTTGTCGCCGCGCACCGACTCAGCGGACGGGCCCCGAGCAGTTGTCGACACCGGGCGGGTGGCGAGTGACGCCTGCCAAGCGGCACCCCCCTACCGCGTGTCATCTTCCACCTCCTCGCCTTCACCCAACACGCGCAGTGACCGGCGCGGTGAAGTATGGTCAGACAACAGTCGTGGACGAGACGCCGTGAGGGCGGTGGGGGGGGGGTGTCCATGCAGCAGTTGATAGACAAACAGCTGTTGATGTTATATTTTGTTTTATGTTAATATACGTGACTTTACCGAAAGAACTAAGAGTATGAATCCTTGCAGTCACGAAAGCTTCAAATCTAGAATTATGTAAATATTATTTTATTATTTCCCTTCTACGTGACTTTACCGAAAGAACCAAGAAGATGAATCCCTGCAGTCACGAAAGCTTTAGATCAAAATTTAGCTGTTGATGTTATTCACGATAATTACGTTTTCATTTCGCAGGGTATGTGGTGTATTGTATATGAATGTTGAACTGTCGTTGGTATCCGATTCTCAATGAAGGCCCGTCTCTCTCTCAGTCTTAGAGTGTCTGTGTTCTGTCTCTCTCTCTCTGTCTCTCTGTATCTCTGTCTGTCTCTTTGTCTCTGTGTCTGTGTGTGTCCCCGTTGTCTTCCTATCCCACCGTGTCTCTCCGTGTCCCTCTTTGTCTATCTCAGCGTCTCTGTTTCTCGGCGTCTCTCTGTGTCGGAGATCATCTCAGTCTCTCCGTGTCCGGAAACACGACGATCGAGACGAACGCGTGAATTTTTTTGTTGAGAAAAAAGAGGGTTTAGTTCAAGTTCAGTTACATTTAATCAAATATTGATGGCGATGATGACGACGAAAATGACGGTGGTGGCAATCTTGGTCGTGACGGTGATGTGTGGATATATGTTGAACATCTTTCGTGCAAATCGGTGGTGCGGATGATGGTGATGATGGTGGTGATGGTGTTATGATTGTTGTGAATTACGCAGAAGCTAAGCAGGCGCTCACCTGTTCGGGTCCCTGGTCTCGGGATCCTGGGAACCGAGTTCCCCGCGGATCGACTCCGCACTCTCGCTCCGTCTCCTCTCGTCTCGTCTCTCTGACTCTCTCGCTCGCTCTCCTCCACTCGCCACTCTCGATGCTCCTCCTCCTCGCCACCACCACCACCACCGGTGACTCCTCCCAGCTCCACACACAAAGACAAACATTCCCCGTATAGCCTTGCACAGGCTACTGGGGCAAGTGCTGTTAGCGAGTGGCACCTATGAACGATGGTACACGAGGGGGTGTGGGTGGCCAGAGCCACGCCCGGCCGCCTTTGTCTCCCAAGTGGCGATGTTTACGCATCGCAGCGGGTACTCATTCGAGGCTGAGACAACCCATGAGAGGCAGCAGGAACGCTTCAAATCATCGTCACCGATGTTATTGGTCATGAACGCGAATCGGGTCGGGGGGTTCGTAGCGCAGCGTGCTAACCACAGCGCCACCGCTCCTCACACACACACGCGCGTGGGTACACACAGACACACACGCGTGAGTACACACAGACACACACCATGAGTACACATAGACACACACGTGTGGGTACACACAGACACACACCATGAGTACACACAGACACACACGTGTGGGTACACACAGACACACACGTGTGGGTACACACAGACACACACCATGAGTACACACAGACACACACGTGAGTACACACACACCATGAGTACACACAGACACACACGCGTGGGTACACACAGACACACACGCGTGGGTACACACAGACACACACCATGAGTACACACAGACACACACGTGTGAGTACACACAGACACACACCATGAGTACACACAGACACACACGTGTGGGTACACACAGACACACACCGTGAGTACACACAGACACACACGTGGGAGTACACACAGACACACACCATGAGTACACACAGACACACACCATGAGTACACACAGACACACACGTGTGGGTACACACAGACACACACCATGAGTACACACAGACACACACGTGTGGGTACACACAGACACACACCATGAGTACACACAGACACACACGTGAGTACACACACACCATGAGTACACACAGACACACACGTGGGTACACACAGACACACACGTGTGGGTACACACAGACACACACCATGAGTACACACAGACACACGCGTGGGTACACACAGAAACACACGTGAGTACACACAGACACACACGTGGGTACACACAGACAGACACACACCATGAGTACACACAGACACACACGTGTGGGTACACACAGACACACACGTGTGGGTACACACAGACACACACGTGTGGGTACACACAGACACACACACCATGAGTACACACAGACACACACACGTGAGTACACACAGACACACACACGTGTGGGTACACACAGACATACACACCATGAGTACACACAGACACACGTGTGAGTACACACAGACACACACGCGTGGGTACACACAGACACACACGTGGGTACACACAGATACACACGTGGGTACACACAGATACACACAATGAGTACACACAGACACACACACTTGAGTACACACAGACACACACACGTGAGTACACACACACACGTGGGTACACACAGACACACACACAATGAGTACACACAGACACACACCATGAGTACACATAGACACACGTCAGTACACACAGACACACGTGTGAGTACACACAGACACACACGTGGGTACACACAGACACACACGTGGGTACACACAGACACACACCATGAGTACACACAGACACACACGTGGGTACACACAAACAGACACACCATGAGTACACAGAGACACACACGTGGGTACACACAGACACACACACCATGAGTACACACAGACACACACGTGGGTACACACAGACACACACCATGAGTACACACAGACACACACGTGTGGGTACACACAGACACACCATGAGTACACACAGACACACACGTGAGTACACACACACCATGAGTACACACAGACCCACACACGCGGGTACACACACACACACGTGAGTACACACAGCCACACACGTGTGGGTACACACAGACACACACCATGAGTACACACAGACACACACGCGTGAGTACACACAGACACACACCATGAGTACACACAGCCACACACGTGTGAGTACACACAGACACACACACCATGAGTACACACAGACACACACGTGAGTACACACAGCCACACACGTGTGAGTACACACAGACACACACCATGAGTACACACATACACACACACACACGTGAGTACACACAGCCACACACGTGTGAGTACACACAGACACACACACCATGAGTACACACAGACACACACGTGAGTACACACAGACACACACCATGAGTACACACAGACACACACGTGTGAGTACACACAGACACACACACGTGAGTACACACAGACATCCTGGTTATGGAGTTGACCCGGACCATCATTTCTCTCTCCGTGGTCGATAAAATATGTACAAACTCTGTTGTATAGTCAACAGCGGCTGTCGTCTGAAAAATAGTCACCCCCCCTCCGCCATATGAATGTGGAATTTCCACCGCTGCCGCTGCAGGGCTCTAAACATTCGACGAGGCCTCAATTGCTGCCTTAAACACACATTGCACTCAGCGCCGAAACGTCGGACAACGTGCCGAATAACGCCGATGTACAACTCAAAAACACATTAACGTGTCGTATAATTCTTGTACCCATCATAATTCTCAATGATCAACATTATTCACGTGATATTATTATTGAAATCATCGTCATTAGTAATCATCATTATGCATGTATTGATATCATTAATGTAATCATCAACATTATCCATGTATTGTATTATTATTGTAATAATCAGGATTATTAATGTATTGTATTAGTGAAATAATCGTCATGGTAATCACCATTATGCATGTTTTGTATTATAAATGTAATAACCAACATTAGTATTGTAATAGTTAGGATTATTCATGTATTCATCTTCTTGGTTCTTTCGGTAAAGTCACGTAGAATGGAAATAATAAAATAATAAAAATAATAAAACATAATTAAATAATTCTCACGACGTTTCGGCCACAACGCAAGCAGCCGTCCTCAGGTGAAGACCAGGTCTGTCGGGGAGACAGCGTCTGAATGACAGACCTGGTCTTCACCTGAGGACGGCTGCTTGCGTTGTGGCCGAAACGTCGTGAGAATTATTTTAGAATGTTTTATTTTTATTATTTTATTATTTCCCTTCTACGTGACTTTACCGGAAGAACCAAGAAGATGAATCCCTGCAGTCACGAAAGCTTTACATCGAAATTTATTCATGTATTGTTTCATTGTAATCATGATCCTCATTATGATTCATCGGCATTATTCACGTGCTGTATTATTATTGTCGTGATCATTCTCGTTATTATTATTAATCAGACGGTCACTGCATCGCGCGCTTTCAGATGTGTTTCTGCGGCCGTCTGGAACGCCCTCTTCCTTCCGATATTAGGAAGCCACTGGAGCAACGCACTTTTAAATCATCTCCATTGAGAACTAAATTATTTCGAACTGCTTTGTGTGTTTAGTTAATTGTCGTTCCCCCGCACCTCCGGTTCGCACGGTTGGCTACGTACGATGCGAAAGAGGTTCAAAACCCATACATCAGCACTATTCATGTATTATGTTATTATTGTAATCATCGTCATAATTAATCATCAACATAATTAATGTGTTGAATTATTATAATCATCAGCATTATTCATGCATTGTCTTATTATTGTAATCATCATGCGCTGATGGGATGCCGTGGCATTTAAACAGTGAACATCCTTCAATCAAACCCGAATAACCATCAGTAGGGTTGTTAGTATTACTGTGAACATGTTACAGTCATCATTATTTATAGATCATTATTATTATGACTACAGTCCGACGTTTCGTTCCACGTTTGGGGAGCTTCCTGAAAGAAGAACACATCAGCAGCTTTATCGAAAAAGACGCTTCCAGCACGTGGGAGCGAAACGTCGAACATCGCGGCGCTGAATCAACGCGAGGCGGTTACGCAACCACGGGTGTAGTGCAACAGCGAGACGCGGAAACCCTCCCAGGCAGCAGCGCTGCTGATGATGATGATGCTGCTGCTGCTGCTGATGATGCTGCTGATGATGATGATGCTGCTGATGATGCTGCTGATGATGCTGCTGCTGCTGCTGCTGATGATGCTGCTGATGATGCTGCTGATGATGATGCTGCTGATAATGATGCTGCTGCTGATGATGCTGATGATGATGTCGATGATGTTCCTGATGATGATGCTGATTATGATGTTGCTCCTGATGATGATGCTGATGTGATGATGCTGCTGATGATGCTGCTGCTGCTGATGATGCTGCTGCTGATGATGCTGCTGATGATGATGATGATGCTGATGATGATGCTGATGATGATGTCGATGATGTTCCTGATGATGATGCTGATTATGATGTTGCTCCTGATGATGATGCTGATGTGATGATGCTGCTGATGATGCTGATTATGATGTTGCTCCTGATGATGATGCTGATGTGATGATGCTGATGATGCTAATTATGATGTTGCTCCTGATGATGCTGCTGATGTGATGATGATGATGCAGATGATGATGCTGATGTCGATGATGCTCCTGATGATGATGCTGATGTAATGATGCTGATGATGATGCTGATTATGATGCTGATGTCGATGATGCTCCTGATGATGATGCTGCTGCTGATGATGCTGATTATGATGTTGCTACTGTGATGATGCTGATTATGATGTTGATGTGATGATGCTGATGATGGTGATTATGATGTTGCTCTTGATGATGATGCTGATGTCGATGCTGCTGCTGCTGATGATGCTGCTGATGCTGATTATGATGTTGCTACTGTGATGATGCTGATTATGATGTTGCTCCTGATGTAATGATGATGCTGATGACGGCGCTGCTGCTGCTGCTGATGTGATGATGCTGGCGATGATCAGTGACGCTTTACAATACGAAATATCATTGCGCCTTATTTAATGAGGTGCGCGCCGATAATATTGATACAGCGATTGGCAATAACAACACTTGCAAGCTGTAACGCAGTACAGTGATACCAATGATAACGATTATCGTGATAAAATACG